TATCACACTTAATTAGCATTATTAACATCACTATAAAACACATATATGCACTATAAATACTTACATTATCATATAAAAATACATCAGATCATATTTTTAAACTACTTTTTAAAGAAGCACCTAACACAAAATATGTCATTTTCGTTTCAAAGTATATTCAATACTAAGAAAAAGGGTGTATAATTAACATAATTCAACTAATTATACTTATGAGTGATGACTATTAGAAATTGAAAATCCATGTGACGTATTTTGGCCATGCATGTGTAAATTAGGTAATTCTATTTACACATGTAAAGGTTGATCAATTCCTATGATTAAATCAGAATTTTAATCTAATATTTGATTTTTTTTCTCAAATTTTTCAAATTGTTACTAGAACTTGGCCAAAAGACATATTATATTATAAATATCTTAATATATCAAGAAAATATTAATTTTGTTTACAATGGATTTTCACTTAATTTGTTTTTAGTAGTACAGTCTACAATAGTTTAACATGTAATAATAATTTGAAGATAGTGTTTTTGTGTTGTGCGCTCTCTTAAGTATTTCAAAAAATATATAAAATATAATTTTGTAAAATAATAAACAAATAATAATAAAATATCACATACTCGATTAAAAAAAAAAAATAATGACAGATGTTATTATAAAATATATGGGAATATTGATAGTATTTCATACTAACATACAGTTATTATGAAGTATCCACTATTTTAGTTACTTGAAGTTGTAATCATCCTGTATAATGTATATAATTATTATGTTTATTGATGATAATAAAATTAATATTAAATAAGTAATAAATCATGGATGAATTTAAATTACAATATAATATAGAAATTACATAGTATTTATGAATCAAACTAATAATGAATGAGCAACAAATAAAGTATAAAATACTAATTCTGAATTAGCATCTTAAATTAAACTATACAAGATAAATATATTGATAAATGTAATCAATACATTCATTGTTTTAGTGCTGGGTAAAGGAAATAATATTATATAATTGTTTATTACATATCTTAGATAACTGAGCCCATTATCACAGGGCGATTTCAAAATTCATTAATATTTTTTTAAATTTATTTACATCTTAAATTTAAATTGACTAAATTAAAAGTTAAAATTAATTTAGCGATATAAAAAAAAATTGTTGGACAATTTAATATTATGAACATTTAAATTATAAAAAACACATACAAATATTTTAAATAGTATTAATTAAAAATTGATAAAAAAAATCAAAATAGTTTTTTTTATATATATATAAAAACACCACTTATGGAATAATTTAGATTTAAAAATGTGTTCTAGTAACTAAATACAGTATTAATTTTATACCATATAATAATTTTATTATGGAAACATCATCTCGTTTCTCATACCTTAATTATTTTTCAAGAAGCCCATCTGGATTTTTGTAAATCAATTTGCCCTTCTAACGTTTTGGCTAAATTAATAATAAGAAGCTATAACAGAACAAATTTACAGTAAATTACTAAAATAGTTKATATTAAAAATTAAGGACAGGGCTTAAAATTGACTGTCCTTCAAAATCCAAACATTATTTAGGTTGTATTTACCTGAGATAGAGCAACACCTAATGCTACTCCTGCAATTGTATATAAATTTCTTTCAGCCCATATACGAATAACTTCAATACATCCACTAGTCCAAACTCTTTTACTAGCTTCGGCAACCTTATACATATCATGAGTTGTATAAACATATAAAAAATTAATACAACATATACTTATTTAATATATACTTACAGAGCTATCTTGAGCACCATAACCACACATGACATTTACAAGTCCTTTCTACAAAATAATAGGTTGCCATAAATATTAAGAATACAGTAAGAATACAGTTAAAGTTATGCTTACTGAGATATCTGTTGCATTGATACAACACGAATAGGGCACCCCACACTTCTCAACGCTTGGTGATGAACAGTTAAAATATTCATTTTTGGACCAATCAATATATCCTTCTGAACTAAGACCACAACATTGAAACTAAAACATATTATATAAATACATTTTTTATCATAAATATGGTATTTCTATTAAGAAATTTTTACTTCTTTCTGAGCAAAATCTATGAGGTTTTGTAAATCTGGATCATCACGGTAAGTGTGAATAATTTTATCAGTGAACGACTCTTCTAAAGTAGCTTGCATGTTATGCGGAAATACAAACCCGATAATTGCAATTCCCATTTCGAGTAGAAAGAATATTAAGAGACACAATGAGTACTGAAAAAAAAAGTTTCATAATAAATTATCTCATTACGATATATTTATCAGAGCATTTGTATACTTATAATATTTAACTTCAAGAATAAATATATTTTGAAAAGTAAGAGTTAAAGCACGTCTAATACTTCCTTGGCTACTGCTTAGTTGTACAATTTGAAACTTGGCTACCTTGTTACAAGAAACTAATTAAAACTAAATTAGGTTATGTTTGATTAGTTTTATTTTTATTAATTTAATGTTCAACATTCAACAATAATAAGAATTCATATAGAATCCCCTAGCAGTGTTTAATCCTATTTGGAAATAATTACAAAAAATAAAATAAAATATACATGAACAAACCAACATCCGGCTTGGTTTTCAAAAATTTGATACCTATTAAAAAAAAAAACTAATTTTCTATCAATCTAATTTTATAGCCATTAATTAAGGAAGTCCCAATCTTATCAACAAYATTTAAACATTATAATATTGTGCATTATTCAACTTGACTACCACCTGCAACAATATWAGTAAGAGCAGTATCATAGTTTATTGAGAAATTAGTCACAGTAGGTTATTATTTTTCACTAGATTAGTTAGAAGGAAGCCATACTATTCACTATACTTATTTTTATAATAAAGGCAGTTTATGCTTCAGACTAATTTACTAAAATGTAGTCATTGAATTAAATTTTGAAATGGAAATTTTAACAGACCATTCTTCCAATTCCAAATAGCCACAAGATAATACAGTTTTCTTCCACACGCCTTAGAAATTACATGAAGCATAATTCATAACAAGTGGCAATATTACAGAAAATTTGAGGTATAATAGATTCATGACAAAGTATAACTTATAGGCAAAAATATACATATATTGTCAAAAAATAAGTAAGTAGTCTGTATAATATAATTTTTAAAATACAATTTAAAATTCTTAAGATAATTTATCCATATGACTTTATAATAAAACATCTTAATTTACTGTATTTGCTAAAAAGTTTAAAATTAAGAATTAACTTTTGTTAGTTCAGGAAGGTAGTAATTGAAATAAAAAAATTCCATTTTTCTGATTAATTTTTCAAGAAATATTTCATTTCTCTTAACATTAACAGTTATGCAGTCAGATTTTGTGCAAACAAATAAATCACATTCCTCCATCCCAGTACAGTACATCTGAACTTGACACTGTGTAAAATAAATGTGATTTTGTTTTAAATCAATAGTATTGTTTTCTTCATTATATTTCAAGTATGGAACTCTTAGCTTTCCATTATCTTCATCAATCAATAAGGTATCTTTACAAGTGTATGGACATTTTATCTCCAATAATTTTTTTACTTTATTGTTATGAATAACTAAACCATCTGGACTTGCACAAATCCAAGGTTGATTTTGATGAACTACTAGGCCACACTTTATAACACGTACATTATGTACAAGTGAATACTTTTTAGAAGCAAAATCTTCCATTTTCATTCCATATTCCACATATTTTAAACCTTTTCCTAATATTGTTTTGTCTTTTATAAACCGCTCAGCCAATTCCTCATTTCTATTACGTCTTGTACAGATCTGATGAGCTTTTGAACTTGCCGAGAGTCTTGTTTGCCTATGCAACCGCCAAGCACTAATGTTTGATTGCTCTATAGTGCTAAGCATAAGGTTAAGTATTTGATCTCTATCAATAATAACATATTTTTTATAAAATTTCAATTGGCTTTCATTCATTGGTTTTAAGCTATTCGTGTATATTGGAGACTTGGCTTGAATATAAAGTAATTCATCATAACAATCAAGAAGCTTAAAAATAATTTTATCATTGTTCATGCGCTCTGACTTCTTTAATCTATCAGTATTTTTTGTACTGAAATTTGATATATGTGAAACATTTAAATTGCTGACACAAACATTTGCATTCTGAGCAGCAATATTTTTGGAAGGTAACTGAAATTAAAGGGAATTATATTAAAATTTAAGGCTGATAAGATTGATTTATATTAACCAAGTTTTAATAAGTTAAACATAAATTTAATACATATTAATTTCTACATCAAAGAAAAAAGTAAAAAAATATGTAACTCACTATCCTAATAATTCTAAGCCATTTTTGAGATATTTCACTTAACATTATTTATTTATTTTTAACACTAACATAAAATAATAAAACAAATTAATAAAAATGAATAAATAGATACTACCTACTTACCTATCAATAAAGAATTATGAGTACATTAAAATAACAATTCAAAATATTTAAAAATTCACAGTTATTAAGTTAATTAATATTATATAAACTCCATGGAAACATCAAAAAATGTTTGTGTTTGTAGTTAGCCAAATTTTAAACGCACACTAAAATGTCTAAATAAAAGTTTTTTTTGAAATTTGTAAGCTTTTCTGAGTATTCTGTTAATAGAAAACTTGAACCCAAAAATGCCCACTATTTAGATGTGTTTGCTGACTAAAGGTAGGTTAGAGGAGTTTCACTTTTAGACCATACAGTATGAATAGAGCAAAGAACCGAATTCTCCCAAATAAAATGGTTGTATATATAAACGAGTCTCTGAATTAGACTCTCGATATGCTCATAATTGGGGCGAACTATTGCATATTTAGCTGTCAATTGATTTATATTTATATAGTATATCAATTCAAGTAGATAAATATGCAACATTCTCATTGTGTGTGGGCAATTTTATTTGTATAATTCAAACTCTTTGGTAACGTCTACAATATGCTACAAACTATTGGGACATGGGTCTATCCACAGTATTTGATCTAAAATGACACTGTRTACTAATTAGTTAGATGTTACAATAGTTAAAAACATGTGATTCTTTTATGGTTGAACACAAAATATTAATCTCATATTTATTTAGATATCTACACAAATAAGTAATGGTATGCTACATTTTATAACAACAATTTGCTATAAAAACTCTGATGATGGACTATTAATAATTTGAACACTATGAAACATAGGGTAAAATATACTCACAAATTTAAGAAGTGTCGTATTTTCACGTAGAGCACCAATACATCCGGCAAAGCTAACAATGAATATGATTTGTCCGGCTATGATCAGAACTAATGAGATATTGAGTATAACGTCTGAGAAGGTGTTTAACTTTATAGAACCCATAGTATTCCATTTTTCATAAAATGCAAATGTACCAGCTGCCACCAATAAACCGCCAAACAACTAAATTAACAATAACACAGGGTTTTTAATGGATTTAAAATTAATTATTTGAAAAACTATAATAAATGATAAACATATACCCAAAATAAAAAGTTCAGCAAAAATATCATGTACTTGACGCAAGGGCTAACGTATGTGAAATTGCTCACGCGTCTCCGATTCATTGCCACGGGCATGTTTATTTTACGGATATGTTCAATTCACACTAAACAAGTTAAGGTCACTATTGTATCGTATACCAACATCAATAGAACGATGTGAAAGACTTGTTGCAAGAAAAGATATTTATATTATCTACAAAACAGAAAAACAATATTCACTATTCAGTAACAATAATTATGGTGAGTTGGACATGGCTAATYTTTGTCTAATGAGCAATGAGCTAATGATCTCGACATCATGCAAAACAATGCTCCAGCCTATGAAACACTGGAACAAACGATGATTGTTATTAAAATTATTACCGTTTTTCTTGTTTGTAGTTAGTCGTGAAGTTATATTTGATATTTATGCGTTGTCTACGGCCACGGACGATACAACGACACACGCCCAGATTGTCCAGAAATGGCAGAAATTAGCAGCGACTTTTCCGGAATTTAATGATATCACAGGACAAGACTCCAACATGATAATATTTAATTATGGATCATATTTATATTTTGTAAGAAATGCCGCCTGTTGTTGTTGTGAGACGTGGGTGAGATCAGTAGTCGTGTCGCAGTACCCACTGGCCACTGGCTACTAGCCGAGTGTAGCAGTAGTAGTCGTCGAACAAAGGAAGCGATGAGTACAGTCCCAACGATCTACTTTGTCAGTTTGTAGTTTGTCTTGACTCTTGAATACGAGCATGGCTAAATAATTTATTTAGCCATGAGTTATGAGTAGGAGCAAGAACTAACTGTTGAAGTTTAATAAGTTTTTTAGTATTTACTAATTAGTAAACATAGATTTGACATGTAAACTATATAACTATATAAGTATAGACTATAGACTACAATGACCTCAGTACCTCTCTCTCAATTCGCCAACAACTAAAATCTATTGTTATAATTCAGTGATAACAACATGCAAAGAAGTTCGAAACTTCAAAACACAGGGTAATTTAAAAAATAATATATTTATATATATATATATATGTATAATGAACTGTACCTTGATATTCTGTGATATAACTATATATAGTTAGTTATATCATATTATCATGTTTACTACCAAGTACCAGACTATCTAGGTATTTGTGGTGACCCACAGCGACAACAATGTTACCGCGGTATCAGCGCGTCAGCCGCCGCAAGCTGCGCGCCCCTCCTTTTAATGTTATATAAGCATCACCTCCATGACACGACCGCGGTCGTANCACGGTTCAAGATATATCTTAAACCGTGCTATACATTACTCAACATTACAACTACTATAATTGTCTACGATAAATGAATAAATGATTTGTACGTCATCACTCATCATATGACTTTACGGCACAACAATATTGTTTAAACCTATGGCATTATGCAATATTGCAGTTAAGAAATAACAAATTATATTTTACTCTACGTACCTACTCTACCCTGAGACACCATTTTTACTTCTTAAGTGATTTTTTACATTTTTTTCTCTTGTCACATTAATTATTAATATTATAGGTACCTAGCTGTATAATTTTTTGTATTTCATAATTGTTTTTTGCAAAATGTCTAATAACCGATACGTAAGTAATTCGACACGAGGGATATTCGACGACGATGACGATGTAGACGACAATGAATTTTTGTCCCGAGTTCGACCCAACGTCGGTTATAGAAATGACCTTTTAGGCAATAATTTTGGTAATCAAGAATTAGAAAATGCACATAGACAAAAGCAACAAGTTGTTGAAACAACGAGAGATGTAGAACAAAAAACTTTACAGTCAACTGAAAGAACATTGCGCTTACTCAGGGAATCTGAAAATATTGGTACTGCAACAGCTGAAGTAAATTATTTTAAGTAAATATGTTAAAACAAATGGAAATAAATAATAATATTTGTGATTTTACTATTACAGGAATTGGTCAGACAAAGAGAACAACTGCAAAATACTGATAAACGACTTGACGAAATCAATTCTAATTTACGTATCAGCCAAAAACATATACAAGGAATTAAAGTAAATAAATTATAATTAATATTAAAAAATTCCACGGATACCTATATTAGATAAAATTAAAATAACTTTTATTTCAATTTACGCCTTGAATTTATTACTATAACTTATACTTAAGATTTCAGATAGTCAGCCCACTATTTATTTTCACTCTAAAACCAATCAAATCTACATTCAAATTTTTGTTTAGCTGAATAACTGATTATTAACTTATAAAAGTGGATTAAGTGAATCAAACCCAAAGTTAGGAACATAATCTGTGTTTGGATGTCAGTTTTTTTTTTTTTTTTAAATATTTCTATTTTTCTGTAATACATAAGCATTTTTAAATTGTAATATTTTACAAAGGTAATCATAAAAAAGTCAATTTATTATCACAAATTATGTTCATAACTTGAAGTTTAATGATATAAGGTCAATTCACTCTTATATTAAAATTTGTCTTCAGAGCCGGCCCAAGGTATTTTGACGCCCCGGGCAATTTTTTGAAAGGCGTCCTTAATCAAATGCTCCATAATATATTTAATACATTTTATACTTACTCACATATTTTGTTTAAAATTCTTATATTTATGGATAGGTAAAGGATTTCAAAACTTATTTGGATACAATTTATAGACGTATCGGCTGTAACACATACTTTTTTTGGTTTTCCCGAGATAATAATTATATTATATCATTGTATATTATTTTTTAATTATTTGTAATATAATGATAAAAACTGGAAAGTGGAGTAAAATCTATAAAAAAAAATATATAACAGAATATTCCGGCATAGATAATTTAGTCATTTAGCTATATTATTGTCAATTTGAATAAATATTACGCTAAAATTTATAAAATATTCGTATATTAAAAGCGCCCCAGGCAACCGCCCGGTTTGCTCGTATCTTGGGCCGGCACTGTTTATCTTCACAAAATTGGATCTGCTGAATGCAGATCTGTCATGTTTTGTGTATGTTAGAGATTGAAAACAAATGGTGTGTTGACATTCTCTATATGATTTATGGTTAAACTATTATCAATTGTCTTTACCTATACTATACAATAATTAATTTAATAGTGCATCAGAGTATTTATGGTTTTTTAAATTTTTAACTGTTTAAGTTAGGTTCTATCATGGACATATAAAACAATTAAATAAAAGACCATATTAATATTGAAGTCAGCAGCCATATACCAACAGGGCAATGTTGACAATGTTTCTATTATATGAAACTATGAAAATAAATTCATTATCTGTATTGTCATCAGTATACAGGGTGATTTTTTTATCGAAGAACACTCATTGTTTAAAAAAATATTAACTTTTTTCAAAATATTTTTTTACATAGTTTCAAGTTGTTAAAAAACAAACGTTTTTATTAAAATATTATATTTTTAAATATTTTTTATCCTTATCATTTTTAAGTTTTTTACTTTTCTGAATGACAA